GACAGGCTGAGAGCTATGGGGCTCTTTCGCTTGGAAAAGTGCAGGCTCAGGGGTGATCCAATGGCCACCTATAAGTTTATCAGGGGTGACCACCAGGCTCTGGGGATGACGAGGTCAAATGGTCATAAACTAAGGCGAGACCATTTCAGGCTGGACATAAGGAAGAATTTCTTTACTGTCTGAGCCCCCAAGGTCTGGAACAGCCTGCCATCGGAGGTGGTTCAAGCACCTACATTGAACACCTTCAAGAGCAAATTGGATGCTTGTCTTGCTGGGATCCTATGACCCCAGCTGACTTCCTGCTCTTTGGGCAGGGGGCTGTACTCGATCTTCCGAGGTCCCTTCCAGCCCAAATGTCCATGAAATCTATGAAATCTTAAAAGAAGACTGCCTCCTCAAAATTGTTGCTTTCCTATGAAATATGGTCCAGAATAACAAATTCATTTTAATACTTTTGATAAAATTACTGTCACCCCACACTATGTCAAGTTAATGCAGCAGAAAAAGTAAGAACAAGTTTGCCATGTGTCCACCATGCAGAATAAGTACAGACTCCTAGGGAAGAAAGGAAAGACCCTATGAACTGCCAAATATCCTCCAGGCATTTGTTGTCCATTCTAATATAATACAGGGCTTAGTCTGCCTGTATGTTTGTCTGTCTGTCCATAACACTTTTGGCCAACTGTGCATGCACTGGCGAGAGGGTAGACAGCGACTGGCTGTGCAGGCCCAAGTTTGAGCTGCTGTCGGGGAAGTTTGTGGCGGCAGCAAATATGCCCCAGCCGCCCGAGCAATAGGGCTTCCCACACCTCTCCGCTGGAGGATGAAGCGGGGATCACGGTGGGGCACCCCCCCCCCAACACCTGCCAGAACAGCCAGCAGGAAGGGAGGGAGGGAGGAAGGGGAGCAGAAAGGGGGCCCTGACAACAGCTGGCACAGAGGGGGAGATGGCAGGAAGGAAGTGAAGGAAGCTGTGCAGGCCTGCATGGGTGCAGGGTGGGTAAGTTGAAGGGGGGGAGGGGTTCATGGTGGTGGCTATTGTTGGGGCCGGGCAGTAGGGAAGGAAGGAAGGGAGGAAGGAAAGCGGGAAGGTGAGGGCACAGTGGCAGCAGGGGGAGTCTTTACATGGCTGGCCCTGAAGGGTGAGCAGGGGACAAGGGGGGGGCCATGTAAAAACTCCCTGAAATCCATCATTCTTGACAGGCAATTAGTTAGGATTTACAGAAACTCAGTGGTTTTCCTTGAAGGTAAATGCTGTATTTTCTCACATAACCCATGCCAAATAATATATGCACTTTGCTTTGGGAAGAATGAAGAATGTAAGGAAAAAAAAATTTCCAGAGTTCCTGCTGAAAGCCAATTGTACAGATCAGGGGTAATCATTACCCCTCCCCTGGCTGCTTAGCCAAAAGTTACTGCCAATTCAGCAATGGCTGAGAAAGGGATAAAACTCTTATCTCTGATGTGGACGAGTGGACACCACCCCTGCTGCATGCTGGCTAGGAGAGATGCACAGTCCTGGGCAGCCATTCCAGTCTCCATGATTTCATTCCAGCACAGCAATTAGCACCCCAGTTAAGAGATGAACTTTAGGAAGGGGTATGTGAGTAAATACAGTAAACTAGTCTAGTTTTAGAAGCTGCATAAAATATTTTTCATGCAGCAGAAACCATCTTCCAAACCCTACTCTCCCAACAGAAAAAAGTACACTAAGCTTTAAAATGGGCAGTTCAAATTCATAACAGGATTTTCTCTTTTTAGGTCCCGGTACCTTCTCCTTGTTCACACGTGAACATGCCTAAACCACTTTGAAAATATGCATCTTTCTTTGGGTCTCACAGCAAATGTTTGTGTCTTTAGAAGTTGGCTTCCTTTCCTCATGGAAAATATTTTATTAGAACAATGTAGGATTTGACAGAGCATAAAGTCTTAAAATAAGTTAAAATTTGGTTAATTTGAGAATTGAAAGAAAACATCTCTCTTTCTGTAAACATGTTACTGGTTCAAAGGAAAAATAATATTTACCACTGTGTTATGTTTTTCTCCCTGCTGCTTCTTCCCTGAGCTTTCAAAGTCAACATTCTGTGGAAAGCAAGGGGACATAAATTTAGTCACTATTCTGTATAATTAGTCAATAAGCTGTTTTTTTAATGTGTAATAAATATAGTCATCTTACATTCAAGTCATTTAACATCACCAGCTTCATTTAAAAAGATTTGACAGACAGCAGTCTACAAATTTATGGAATGTGAATGGTTTCTCAGATGACATTCAAAACATGCCTCTGAAGTTGACGGCAACATTGCTTTCTACCTTGAATTGACATTTATTTTTAGGCCATCCCAGATAATTTTTAAACAGTTTTTAATCTAAGTTGGCAAGCATCAATAAACTATTAAAAAAAAGTTACAGAATTCATTGTAACCATGCTGAGAAACATCTATCTAATGTCAAATGTAATCTCATTTACATGAGCAGAGTTCCCTCCAAATGATTCTGAAGACAAATATTTAAGAAACAAAAATGATAAATCAAAAGTTAATGTAGTATGATGAGATCACATTTTTTCATGCATTAATCATTAAATTAATTTCCTACAGAATTCTCTCAGCCAAGATTAGACAAGGCACTCTACCCAACATTATATACATTGAACTAAAATTACTATATTTTCTCACATACTAAACGCAAATATTTTCCTCAAAAAACAGCCGCTCAAATTGGGTCACATGACTCAAACAAGGAAACTGATTTTCTGCCAAGGATAGAAGCATTCCTCTTTGATTCCTGCTCACAGCAGCAGTGGCATTTCTATTCAGGCAGTGGAGGAAGTCAATTGACTTAATGCTTCATTGTTTTTATGTTAACAGTTGCCTCTCCTTTTTAATGGTCTTGATGTTCTACCGATCAAGCTAACCTTTCTTCTGGAAATTTTGCTGCTTTTCAGCTACTCCTTTCTCTCACCTCCTATTTCACAGGTCTGTAAACTGCTTTTAGTTAACTCTTCAAAATCACAAAACCACCCATGAAGACTAGCCTTCAGCAGCTGCTAGAATTTCAGTTTTTGATTCAACAGGAAAGGGAGGATAAGTGAACTGAAGATTAGGCTCTGTCCCTAACTCCAACTCCATACAGCCATAACTCTGGAAAAAAATTTTCTTCATTCTGCCTTCCCCAAAGCAAGAGGGGTACAGTATGTGAAAAAATATGATATTTATGATAAGTTTTAAATAAAAAGGTCTGTGACAAAAAAGATGTCTGGTGAAGGAGACATCTTTTTTCAACTGAACACTTGTATGTTGGCCCAATAAAATGGAGAATTTTATGTACAATAAAAATGAAAGCAGTAAAAAAGCCTGTAAAGTGCTCTCTCCCAATACAGTTCACTCAAAAACATTTTCTGTGGTTTTAAGAAAATCACAAACAATTATGCATGAAGAAATACAAGTCAGCTGAAGTATTTCTTTAATCATATATTCAGGACAGATAAAAATAATGCTCAAGTCAGACAAGATTTTATTTAGGGCAGATTCCTACCTCAATTTTCCTTTGTACATTTACTATTCCTTGTTCATCTCGTACTTTAATTCAAGCCAACAGCCAGCCATAAAACGGTGGTAAAAAACAGGGCTTAAAAATCCACTCATGTGCCTACCCAGTGCCAGCAGTGAAAATCAGTAATCCTACTGTACTTTACATAAAGACAGAACAAGCTGACACTGGGCATAACCTTATTACTCATCTCTTGGCACTACTGCTGAGAGTACACAGGATGTGGTTGGAAATGGTCTTAGTAGGAAGAGTGCTGGGGCACTGCTGTCTATTGCCAATGTTACTAGTCTGGACAGTGTACTGTTCCCCTACATATTTTTCAAGCCTGAGCTACTTTAGTCATGCAATTTTATGAGAACACCAGTTTTCATTTAATAAAATCCTTGCCATCATTGGTAGCAGAAAGGACTAAAATGTCACCCAAGAGTACCTTAAAGGCTCAAATACGACAATTAAAATTTGTTTTTAAAACACTGCGTTTTACGATATTACCATAAACAGAAAGCCACAGATAAAGGGTCAAGCATACCTCTACGTTTCAAGTAAATCTGTTTGTGGCTAGTACATTTTATTCCAACAACTCCTATGTTGTACGAGACATATTCATTAGCAACTCCCATTACACATGCAGATTTACTGCTGTGCTATCATCTGTTCCATCTCACAAAGCTATTGTTAAACTGAAAGGGTAATGCTTTGGTGATATCAGCAGACTTAGAATTTCTCAGGGATAGACTCAGAAAGAAAATTTCCCATGTCCTAGCTTGTTATATATAGCCTTTATCAGAAGGTAAGTAGCACTGAGATTGCATAATCAAAGTATGCCTTCCAATACCAACTACAGGAAACCCTCACTATTCACTAAATTGGCATTTGCAGTTTCAAATATTCACGAATGCCGAACCTGCATCTTAAATACACTTACAGGAGCTCCTTGGGAGCTCCGTGCTTGCCGCGGCCAGGCTCCCCGCCATTGCCAGCGCAGGCGTGCCCCCACCCCCACCCACCCCCAGCCAGCAGGACACTACATTCATGAACACAGACAATGTTCATGAATACAGTGCCGTATTCACGGATTTTGCCAGTCACGGGGATCTCCAAAACGTATCCCCTGCGAATGGCGAAGATCACTTGTACACATGGAAATATATGGAACTATTCATTTTCTCAATGTCCCTGCACTAGGATTCAAAAACAGAAAGTGACTCGAGCCCCTTTAACATTCCTAAACTCTCCATTCAATTCTTACGATTACCAGACAAGACACCAAAATAAGTTTCTGAGCTGTTATTTTGACTAGATCCCTCACTGACTCCACCTTCATTCCAAAGCCCAGACTGTTTCACTTTTAAATCTGTCCCTACCATACTTATGACATGTTTTCTAACCAATGGCCCTCACCTTTGCTCAGACTATCACCCACAAGTACAATTTTCCCTCCAAGAACTTCCTTCTATATTACATGGGAGGAACTTCCTGTAAGAAACAAAATTTCCTCTCCACCTTTAAACACACCCATGCTGAGAAACTTGTAGAACATTTTATAACAGCTCCTTGATAACCACTGTTATTACCTTAAACATAATTAGCTCTGTTAGCTTTTCCTTCCTGCTTCTCTTATCTGCGTAAGTCAGTTGCCTCTCCTGATGCACATAGATTGCAAGCATTTTGGGATGTAGGCTCTGTTTTTACATGCTAATAAAAGGTCTAAAATAATATACCCCACACTGGGTGCCAATGCAATACAAGTAAATTTTACTACCTGGTACATCAGAATAAACAGCATTAAATGGATGCAGAATAATTTCAGGAGTTAATGACAACTCCAATATCCCAGGCAGTCATATTTATCAAATGCTTAAAAAAATAAAAAATAAAAAAACTGTATTAATTGTACACTCTTTTAAATGTACCCAGGGGTGCACACAGATTTGGCTGATGTGATTGTAGAGCAGCTGGCCATCATCTTTGAAAACTCATGGTGATTGGGAAAGGTCCTGGATGATAGAAAAAAGGGCAAATAGAGAGTCCAGCACAGGGCAACGAAAATGGTTTGGGGGCTAGGGCACATGACTCATAAGGAGAGGCTGAGGTAACTGAGTTTATTTAGTCTAAAGGGGATTTAACAACAGCCTTCAACTACCCAAAGGGGGGGCGGGGTTTGAAAGAGAATGTAGACCAGGGGCAGGCAAAACACAGCCTGTGGGTCACATCTGCCAGGCAATTTTATCCAGCCTGCTGGCACCCAACAATTAACTGTACCCCACCCAGCTCACACACCTCACTCTCACCCTTGTGCACAGAAGGGCCCAACCCAGGCAACACACACAGCTTCCAGGCAGTGCTGCTTCACAAAGTATGGGGCTGGGACTGGTGCAAGTGCAGAGCCTGTGCCCAAAGGGGCAGCAGGATCAAGGAGCCTGGGTAGGCAGGATGTGGGTGTGTCGAGTTCATGAGGGTGGGTGGGACGGGTGTGGGGACCCCCCACACACCCTCTCCCCCGTGGTACACAGCTCCTGCCACCAGCAGCAGCAGGCCCTTGGGGTTCTCGTGGCCATTCTGGGAGCTGCACATGGTGGCAAGGAGCAGACCCAAGCCAGTCCGCTTCTTCTGACCAGGGCTCCCCATGGCACACCTGCAGCTCCCAGCACTCGCGCATCACTGTGGGGATGCAGGGACCAGGGCCAGGCTGCCAGCTCCACTGTGCAGGGCTTCCGCTCAATGGCATGCAAGTACCAGGAGCTACACAAACACTACAGTGAGC